AGATTTGACGATGAGGTTTAAAATGAAATAAAATTGTTAGCCACGTCAGCTGAAAGCGAAAAGAAAGCGCCCGACCCTTAGTTAATAATGTGACCTCCGAAGTCTGCTGAAAATCGCCGTTCTCCATTTAAGGAAAGTTATTTTACAGGTGCAACGAAATCGCTCGCTTGTATGAAAGTTGTCGTTAAGGAGGAATTTCAACAAGTTTTAGACGCATCATGAGCGCAGAGCTACATAACAACTTCGTTGAGTGAAGTTCACGCTTTCGATGCTAACGTGTCTAAAGCCTTACTTCACGGCTATGAATTTTAAAGCAGAGATCTCTAAATCTATTAATTCGCTGGCGCTCCTTGCTGATGTCAGAGAGGCAGATGTAAATAATTCACGGAATTATATCTGTCAAATGCCGAGCTTTCGTTAATTAATGATGACATGCACTTTGTGTGGGCAGCTGCTACAGATGCCTTAGGTTCCCGGATGTGCAGGTGGTGATTCGCGCGCGCGAGAAAACTCCACTATTTGTTACGCCTTGCCTTGCTATACAAGTTTGTTGGCGAGACAGCCGCCGCTCTGAATCTTCAATACAACGCCTTTTTTTTTCTATTCACCGAAGGATCAATGAAATTCGTCGGCGGAATGCATCACCACAAATACAACGGTACGAATCCTTTTTTGTCTTAAAAATGAATTTGCCATTGATTTTTCCCCTTGCATTTATACCGTACTCACTATTTTGTCCATATAAATTTTCATGAATTCTTTTTCCACTGGTGGAGAAATAAAAATATCACAGAAGCCACTTAAAATTCGCTGTAGGATTTTTGTTTCACCCCGAGAATTTTTTTCAGTGACCCGGTTTATTAAAAAAAAAAAAAAAAAGCGTAAATCCCCCGTCCGTTTGGTATCTTTGTGGTATAATTTTTTCATGTCGTTGGAAAAGTAATTACGGGCATACAGTTGGCCTTGTTGAACGCCTCGCCGCCTTACCACCACTTAGAAGGCCTTGTGTAAATAAAACATAAGTTGTCAGTGGAAGGTTTCGACAGGAGAAAACAGCTCGTTTTCTTTAATGTCCTTAGTGAGTGGTAGAAACAGATGTACATACGATACAATAACTACACCAACAATCGAATAATTTGCACGTGCGGGAATCGACCAATCACAAACCAGGTTGAATTGCAGGGTTTACCGGTTATCGATTTATTCTTGTGCTTCTCATCAGAGACCCAACAAAAACAATTTAAACAAGCTATTTGGAGAGTTTTTGTATTTTTCTTTCGTGCCTTTTATTCATTATCGCATGTTGTCGTGTTTTTTGGTCATGCGATCATTATGTTTTTTGCAAAGTAGGTATCGTATTACACGGAAACACTGTTCGATTTTGGCCAAAATCATTATTCCTTACGAGGGCACGTGTGTGAGAGATCTATTTTAATGAACCTTTGGTTAATTATTTATTACTTTAGCGACTGAAAAGCTTTTGAAGCATATGGTTTCTTTAGTTCTCCAATTTTGTGGGATTCGAAAACAAGGCGGACATTAAAATCCTTTTGGATTTTTCAGCGTGTTGACAGTGGCTAATCTACAACATTTCACTTTATCTCTGAGTTTTTATCTTTTTTTTTGGAAATATCATAACAATAGGAGTCCCTAAATCTTTGCATCAGAATTGGACCCCAGGCTCTCAGTATATCTAAGCAACGGTGGCCTGACTTCCATATTTAGAAACGCAAACAATGGAACGGGGGTATAGTATGGGGTGCACCTGCTACCGACAGTCGCTAGATTCCCGTATGCACAGCTGTTGACAGTCGCTCTATACCATCTGATAGTTGATAAGGAGTGTTATCTGTGCGCCGATATTGCATATTGTGTTGAAAAAAAAAGCGGCTGAGAAAATCTCAGTGAACTGTGGGTCAAAACAGACTTGGTCGTTTTTTCGCGATCTCTCTCATTTTTATCGCCAATTCCTTCGGCAGTTTCAATTGTAAACGAAAATATTTCAATGAAAAACAAGCCTGCAGCTTTCGCACGAAATTTAGATAAATTTGCGTTTTCGCTTTTCAAACAGGAAAATGAAAATTGAAATTACTTTTGTGTTGGTGACAGCTAGTTAAATATTAAGCAAGATATTCGGTGATAGTTTTCCGATGAGGATTATTTTTCCCACGGCAAAATCTTTGTTGTTTTTATCTGATCGCGTTCTCCCATAAAAGTTGTCCGCTCTTAGCCACTATTTTTTCCTTCGTTTAATGGACCGTACGGCACGTGCTAAAGAAATATTATAAACAATGCATTAAAAAAATTTCGAGATATTTTAAACGTCAGCTATATTCATTTATTCATAACATACGGATCACGTGACCCACTCATGACGTCACTAATTAATTGCTTCACCGGTGGCAGAGTTTCTCGATGGGAGTTATACGAAAGCCCCTTTCTGGTGTAGCGAGAAGTCTGTAATGCCGGCTGTAACTTCAGGTATTTGCCAATATATTGATCATATTCCATAACATTAAACTAAGCAAACGCATCTAGCTGTTTTTAATTGTCGCGCGCGTTTCCGATGGTGAAGTTTTCAAAGCGCCACCTTGAGTAGTGTAATGACGAGTTCTTTTATATGGCGTCCGATTTTGCTTCGTCTCCCTTTGTTTTGTTTAGCTATGGATTAAGACAAGGACTCCAGAATACGCTTGGTTATCGTCCATAGCTCTTAGGATTTGTTTAAAAGGGGATTGAAACTTGTCTCAGACGTGAGTACATCGAGATGCAAATCAAATTTCTTTTACGCTTATGTTGCTTAGACGGAGCCATGAGTTTTTATTTATTTATGTTTTCGGTGAGAGGAACGACACAGCGTTACCAAAATTTGTTACAACGATTTATAATGCTTATCTTACGAGGCGATGTATGTCCTAGAAACTCTACTAATTTCTTATTCGAAATTTCATATTCCTGTTTGCTTTAATCGTGATTTGCGCAAAGGTTCTCGCCCTTCAAGCGCGCAAACCTTCTCGTTTTATAAATCCCTTTTGTCGCTACCTCTGTCGCGATATGATATCCGTAGGCTCTTCGCTCGCCCTCTGTAGCTTGTTTGTTGCAAACGCTGTGGGTCGTGACGTATAAGTTTTGGGGAAAATTAAAACATTTTACCAATTTCATATTTTCTTCTTATGTAATGATAATTCAGTTACCTGGTTATGAGACGGTAACAGTATACTGTTTCTTCGATTGCCACAAGTTCCATGCTCTAACTTAAACTCCGTGAATCACAGTATGTTTCTTGATAAATCTTTAGTAATTTTGGTTGTGTCATTAAAATCTCATCAACAGAGTTATGCGTATTTACAAGGTTATTCATGAAGTTCTTATAGTACTTTACTTCGGTAGCCTGACGAACAAATTGGCCATCTTCTTGACTCCACCACTGAAGCGATCTTTTGTGTCTGCGAAATTTTGTTCGTGGTGAACCCGCTTGATAAACAAGGCGTTATAAGACTCGTTGACAATTGAAGAATTTTCATGATGGCTCTGAAATGTGAAATTAAAAGCGACAGATGAAAAATCAGAAAACTATCACCCGATGATTGTTTTAGCCACATATCCGAGTGGTTCGATGCTATGAATTGTGTTGTCAAGTTTGGATAAGAGTTCGTCTTTACAGCTCGTTTGAATGCAAATGACTTTGTTTCGGAAACATTTTGACCGAAGCATATGAACTTAAGACCACACCAATATATGCTCTTATCCATTGAATTTGTAATGTTCAACCAAGCACAACTGTTGATTGTTCTCAGGCAATTGTAGTCTGTATTACTAGCGACATTCATGTCAACTTAATGGGTCTGCATATTTTTCCAGTTATTGACCATAGGTTAAGTGGAATGTCGGTCTTTGTCAAAAATAAAAATAGTATATTTAATAGCTATCAAGGTTTGTTATTACTCAATTCAGCAGGGAGACTGTTATGTTCTATTTTGTTTTGGGACTTACTGTGTTCATATTATGTTTCACATTGTGACTGTATTGTAATACAGAAATATGCTTTAAATATATTGGATATCATGTATTGATCATCAACAAATTAAAAAAATGACAGAGTAATAGAGTTTATAATTTGTGATCAGTTTTCAGTAATGTAACGATGTAAACGAGTACCTAGTTTGTTTGATGTGAAACTGGGGTTAGGAGTTTGTTACATAGTTTGCATTCCGTAGTTATAATATTATTTTTTCTGTGCAGTCTGAGTTTAAAACCATTTAAGCCATCCAGTTGGTACCTGACAACAATTTCTAATCCCACCCTGATAGGTACCAATTAATATATGTATCTTACAAATATTGTCTTTTCTGTATCTGCCTCTGTCCCCTTGAAGGCAAATGAGAAGGCTTGATACAACTTTTGTTGGGCTTTTCGAATCATTTTTTTGCCAAGGTGAAGATACAAGTTGTCATAAGGGTCACAATGCTAAGAATGCTGGATCTTCAGTTGCCATGGAACTCTATAGTTGGCATTAGTGCAGGAGAGTGATTTCATGAGCTAAACCAGTGAAGAAAAAGTTGGTTTTTATGCTATGATAGTATGCTATATTTGAAATATCAGCCTTTGTTATTTGGAAAAAGTGACGATTTTTTTGTGGTTCTCACTGTTCTTATTTTTGGACCACTTAAAGAAAATTTTACAATGAGCCAGTAAAAACTCAAAATAAGTTCATGTGCTGCATATATCCTGGACCAAGGGTAACTAACTTGTGGGTTGTCGAGTCAAGGTTGGTTTAAGTTTTACATCCACTTGGTTGAGAACATGGCACAAAGCATTCTCGAGCAATCACAAAGCACAGTGCTGTAAATTCAAACCTATGTCATCTCGCGTTATTTTGGCTACTCAAGTAAAGTTCTAAGAGCAACCAGTCCTTTTAAAGGTGGACATGTGTGTATTGCCTTTCACATACTAATATGCGGTCAAAAGCAGACAGATAAGATAAAATTGTTATGTTGTAGATTTAAGAGAGGCAAGCATGCCAGATTCACCGACAGATCCAGCAGCTCATCCTCCTCAGGGACCTCCAGTGTCGTCGCCAAATACAAATCCTTCATCAGTTCCTGTTGTAGCTGATGTTAGGTCTCTTAATAATTCCACTTCACCGGCTGTCAATGGTGCACATACCAGCCCCACTGGACCCGTGTCACCTAGCAGTATAGGAAACAGTGTAACCCAACTACCTCCAGCCTGCGGTGCACGGCAACTTAGCAAGTTGAAGCGATTCCTGACAACTCTGCAACAGTTTGGTTCAGATATTTCACCTGAAATTGGAGAGAGAGTGCGAGGACTTGTTATGAACCTTGTGGTAAGGAAACAATTTGTAACAAATTTTGGTACTGTTGGGGCAATAGGTGCTTGTGGTCAGAGATATAATGTTAACTTTTGGTTATTCTTATTTCAGAACTCTACAATATCCATTGAAGAATTTCATGCACAGCTTCAAGAAGCTACAAATTTTCCTCTTAGACCATTTGTTATACCATTTCTAAAGGTATGCTTGACTCTGTTTATATACATGTAAATGAAATCAGAGCAGGTATACTAAGGGAGACAATTATTTAGCTAGTGCCTCCCCACATGCTCAAGCTTTGCTTTGTTTCCACAGTAGTGGTATATAAATGCAACACAACATTTTCGTTTCCAAGAACTAAATATCAATTCTGTGCATGGCCTACTATAAATTCCATTTGAGTTTAACGTTGACAGTATGGTGGCCAATCAAATGTTTTTCCTGAGTTTTTTCATCTTCACCTTTCTGCCAGAAATTTTGCTTTTTGGTCTGTTCTTGCTTAACATGGTTTAATCAGTAGAAGGTGGGCTATGTGAAAATAAGTCAGCACTTAGTCACCTTTTGCACCAAAATTGGCTGAAATTTTTTTTCTGCTCTTAAAACTTTGACATTTTTTTGAAATGAATATCTTGTGGCTGATGGATTCTTACGGCTGTTTTGGCATCGGGATCAAGAACCTTTACTCATTGGTAAAATTGGTGTACTGCATAGATTCCAAACTTAGTAATAAGTAAAGTGCTTAACTTATTTAGGAGTGTTTGTTACTGTAAATAGTAGAATTAATTTCCCAGTTTGAGACTAAGGTTCGTTTTAAGTGGCCCAGATATTTGGCATCTAAGTTTTTGTGTGTATCAGTTTGTTGACCTAAAGTTGTACTTGTAAACTGAGGGCCTAGAATAGAATTGCCGATCATTCAGATATCTTGCCTTATCAACCCATAATAACTAAGGTATAATTTTTATGGTATTTCCAGGCAAACCTACCCCTTCTACAAAGAGAACTGTTACAGTGTGCTCAGATGGCCAAACAAACTCCACCACAATATCTCAGACAACATGAAGATATTTTAAGTGAAAGAGAAACAGCACCTCTGGATCCAGAGGAACTAAATCCACTAGAAATAAATGAAAATGGGAAACGAAAGGCTCCTTCAGAAAATATGAGGTAAAGCTATTACAAAAAACATTTGTTTTTATCTCTCAATAGTTATACTGGTTTAATATTTTCTTTGACAATATTACTCAGGGCTCAGAATTAAAAAAAATTCTCGATCACAATATGCAAGTAATTCCTAAAATTTTGTTACAAGTTCAAAAATTTTAGTTGCAAAAGTAACCAACTCAAGAAATTTCATGAGTATTGCATGGCGTAGGTTCTGAAAAAGCAAGCCCATGATATGTTTCTCAGCAAGAAGTCAACGATAAAAGTCATGCAACATTTAACTTGAATTTAGTGGGATTTTTCGGATAAAACTACAGCAACCAGTAACAAGTGAGACACAAGGCTATTAAATATAATTTACTTATAAGCTAGGCTATAAAATGGTTGTAAAATCGCTACCAATGGAGAAATTTTAGTTGCAAAAGCAAAATCGTTATTCGCAAATGTGTCCTATACAGGCACAATTTTGAGCCCTGTTACTATTTAAAATTGTGGCTCTCGTAAAACTGTGAAAACAGTCTGTGATTGTCTTCTGTCCAACAGCAGCAATATAAAATTAAAAGAATAACATTAGACATGAAAAAATTGTGTGCATCTGACTGGCTCAAAACAAGTGCTTTTTTCATTTAACACAAGTGCAAAGTTGACTTTCCTTTCATTTGGAATGAGAATGTAATTTTGTAGCCTGTGTATGGCTATGGCATTATTCTTGTTTTTTGTTTGGTTACATTACATGTCATGGACCAGAATTAAATGTTACAAGCTAACAACTTTTCATTAACCCTTTTACTCTCATGTGTGACCAACACAGAATTTCTTCCCATAGTATCATTACAAAATCAAGCAGACAATTGATGAGAGTAGAGAAAGTTATCAATTTGGGGTTATTGGTTGATGTAATACTAAGAAAAATAATAATTAAAAGAGCCCAGTACTACAAATTATGAAATCCAGGTTGCCCTACATATGCCTTTTATGGAAAAACTAAGATTCTTTAGTTGCTCATGAGCAAAAGTAAGACACCAGGGGCCTCCAGGTGTTGCTAGAGCACAGCCATAAATTAAGTCAGGATGTACAACAGTACGTAGACTTAGATTTCTTTGTAAGAATACTTTTAAGAATAGATTTGCCATCTTTTACAGACCTAAGGAAAACGGAGGACCTCCTGATTTGGCTATGGTGAGTTGGAGTGTTTCTTCCTTATTTTTTCCTGAAATCTAAGTACTTCATTATGAAATAGGAGATATGCTTATTAAATACCTGTATTGCATAATGTAATGCATCCCATGACAATCACATTATGCTGGTGCAGATGCTGTATAAATATGCAAATAAATACCTCTTCCTTATTTGGTTACTGAATTCTGTGGCCATCACAGTTTTGAAATTTTCCCTCCTTTTGTTTCAGCAAATGATGGCAGAACTGGGTAAACCTATCCCAAAGAGGCCCTTTTTGGGTAAGTGTATAAAACTGAATGTAACTTGAATGCAATTACTTTGACATCTTTCACCTCTTTCACCTCAAAATGAATCCTTTTTTGTTATGATTTCTTTGCTGAAGATAGCTAAACAGCTTTGTTTTAAATTGAGGGATTTCAATGTAGCTTTAGAATTATATAAAGTTAATCTTATCTCAAAGTTGTTGAACAAGAATCACATTGCATGATGAATTGATACTGAGCTAGCTTTGTATTTTCTTGTATAGGCAACAGCAGCAGTTTTAATAAACCAAGTCAGTTAAGAATGGAAGACATCACAATACCACAAGGTAATATTTAAAGGATGTTGAATAATCTTTTATTTCCAAAACAAAAACTACTCTGAACAGCTCAGTCGTTGCATTACAAGATGACAAATTATGCACTGAATTCATAAAGGTAAATGGTTAAATTGGGTAGAATTTTATTACATGCCCATAGTATTCTATTGTCAGCCCCAAGATCCTGTAGTTTTTTCTCCTTACTGTCTGCCACACACTGTACATTCTTATGATGTTAGTTTGGAGAATTTGGTATTGGATCAACTACTAATCCCCTAATTGATATTTTTGTTTATTGTCATCATTTGTCTTGATATTGTATTGATATTGTAAGGAGAAATTCTGTCTTGGTCACTCATGGGAGTTGAAGCGTTAACCAAGAATTTCTCCATACAATACCTCTACTCTTTCTAGCAGGAAAGTAATAGGAAAGTATAAAAATATCAGCAAGGGAATAGTGCTTATTTTGAACGTGAAATACCTGGAGCTAAAATTATGAAAAATGTATGCTAGATGGTATGGAGAGTGGACATTTAGATCTTGGTGGCAAAAGGGTTGATGACTCGTTATCTTGTAAATAATGTTACCGCCCTTTGTTTGCAGTGATGTTTCAGTTTTGTGTGATGGTATGATTAATCATTGGTAATTTCACAGCAGGCAGCTCACGTGATGGTGATCCCACACTGCCAGATGCTCTGTTGGATAGCAAACATGAAGTAGTGGATGACTGGAAACATGTGGATACGGTAGGTGGAGTTACCAAGGTTACAATGAGGTGTATATTAGGTGTTACCAAGGTTACAATGAGGTGTTTATTAGGCATTGGAGATTGACTAGGTCTTCCATGCACTGAGCTATCTTTTGATTGAGACCTATAAAACATGCTCCTGTTACTTACCAATTCTTGTGCAACGAACTCTGTCAGGTAAATCCCTAATTGTGGCTGGCATGGTATGCAAGTGGATTAGAACTAATGGAAATTTATATTTTATACTTTCTATGTAAAGGGCAATCACATTTTAACCCTCTGATTCCCAAGATCTGGTTGTGAATTCTCCCATCTGGGTGCTAGACATTTCCTTGTGAATTAGTTATGAGAATTTGGTGTTAGGTCAAGATAACTTCTACCTGATAAGAATGAGTATTCTCATCACCTGTTTGTTGGATAATGTATGTGTATTATAGGGAGAAGTTTCATGTTAATCACTTCTGAGCATTTTATGTCGGTACTACTACTGTGTGGTATTTGTGATTTTTCTCTTTTTTAATAATTATTTCTGTGTGGTTATTAGATGCTTCAGTGCATAATAGGAATGGTTGACAAGACAAAACGAGCTGTAGCAGTGCTTCAACAACGATGCACTCAGGACCGAGAAGAATTATTGGCCTGGGCACGAAAAACAGCTGAAGAAACAGAAGCGGAAGTTAAGAGGAGAGCAGGTGGGTTTAGAACTCGCCTAGCGTCATTTTGTATGGACAACTAAGTCTAGCATGGTTTTCAGAAAATGCTCGCTCGTCAACGGACTGAAAAGTTTGTCTTTCGTTAAACCTGTACTTTAAACTCGTTTAGGGGAACTGATGGCTAAAACGCTAAAACAAACAGAGGAGCGCGTAGCAGAAGTCAAACGTCGTGCGGAAGAGGCCGTAAGTGACGTGAAGAGACAAGCTGTGGTGGAACTACAGAAAGCCGTCCGTGCTGCCGAGGAGAAAGCCAATGAGGCTGTGGCTAGTGCGCATGGCAAAATGGAGAAAGCTGTGCTAGAGGCGCGCCGACAGGCCACTGAGGATACCTTAGCCATGTCAAATCATCAGAGTGATTCGAGTGAGGTAGGGATATAATGCTATGCATTCTTGTTTTCTTGAACAAAAGTTGTGTTAATGTTTGTGCCAATTTGCATGCTCTTTAGTGAAGTTGTTCTCATTCTTATGGGGATATTGGTTGTTCTTCCCGTAGAGTTGTTGGAATTGCGGGCGAAAGGCTACGGAGACATGTAGCGGATGTAATGTGGCGAGGTACTGCGGCCCGTTTTGTCAGCACAAAGATTGGGAGAACCATCATCACGTGTGTGGACAGCAAGCTCAGGCCGCCAGCGAAGATAATCCCCAAGGAGGAGGTCCTCAGTCCGTTGGCTCTCCCAAGGATACCAACACCTCTAGTCCCGCTGTCACAAGAATGACCACGCCCACCTCGTCATCCGACCCCATTTCGTCCCTCAGTGATTATGTTATGAAAACCCCCTCTACGTAGGATCGACTAGTACGCGCTTAAGTAATACTGGCTTCGTTTATTTAGTCGCCAGAAAAGGACACTGAAATTTTTTCAAGGGAAGCCTTCCTCGTCAGTATAGGGAACCTCCAATGATTGAGAAATTGTGATTTCGATTTGTGCATAATCTTTGTTGATTCCCTTGTAACTGTGTTTGCGATTAAAAGATTTCTTATGAAGCAGGGTAGAATAAGGCCAAGGGTTTAAGCAATTTTATCGCGTAGTATTACGGGTATGTGCAGCCGGAGGATTCTAAGAATAAGAAGACTGTCTTAAACACAAATCAAAATGAGATACTGCTGCTATTTCATAAAACCATCTGCATGTATGGAGCTCCTCTTTTTCCATGGAAGGGGAGGGTAAAGATGGTAGAGACCCCAAATAGCTATTGGCATCTCATGGCTGAGTGAATCGTAAAAGATATCCGAACTGCATCTTGGCGAATACTTTTTTTCAGGTTCTCCAACTTTTCTCGTAACCCATTTATTGACAGACAAAATCATAACGTAGAAACTCAAAACAAAAAAATCCTGTAGGTTATTTCAGTGGTGAAGTAAATCTCATGGATTCTAGGCAACCAGTGGGCCAAAACGAGATGTTTCGTCTTCCGCAAAATTGTTCAGACAACAACTGGTAGCATCGGAAGATTTTATGGTCTGCATCAGGGAACAGTTTTTCTCGAGGGAAGTATTTAAGAAGGGCAAAAGCCGTTATCTTCAATTGTGTGTTTCGCCGGCGGTGTTAGTAAGCTTAAATCCCATTAAGTAAATATCTTTGTTTTGGTTTGGTTTTGAAGTTGTTTCGTCCTTCCTTTTTTTTAAAGGCAGAGTAAGGTGCACAGTCCTCAACCATTACCTTTCGGTTTCAATTGAGCACCAAATTACAAATGGAATGTAATTATGTACAGAAGCTCCCACCCCAATTTCGTTAATGGGCCAGAAGAATTTTCAGCCTTGTCTAAAGTGTCTTTCCTAACGTAAATTTTTATCAATCGTTGCTTCCTTGTGGGAAGCGTAAAGTTTTGACGAATTTTGTCCATTTTCAGTCGGTTAACAGCAATACCAACATGTAATACTTGTAAATATGAAATAAAGTGGACCTAGTCTATGTTGAATTGGTGTCTTGTTATCACCACTTCTCCTTAGCCTTAACCAATCGCATGGTGGTAATTCGCGTTTTACCGCGCTTTTTACTTTAAGCAAAGATGGGCTCTTGGTATGAGTTCCTACTGGCTCCTTGCGATAATTTCCTTTGCTTTGATTGGCTTTTGTGACTACTTTGGTTTTCGTTTTACAACGTTCGATTAACGTACAATTTATCAAACGGAATATTTTCTTTAATTAATTTTCAGAAGTAACCAGCTAAGATATGATGGTTACTGGTCAGCTCTGTGAGGAATTAAGATTGGAATGAAAGGGTCACTGCTCTTGTTGAGGAAGCAGGCGTCGAGTGTGAAGTTCCCCCTTCCTTTGATCGGGCTGAAATACTTGGTATGAATAAACTCTGAGTTCATCTTACTGTAAGTAGGTAGCAATTCCTCTGAAAGTGGCGTTTACCTATTGCAAAGCGTCGCTTGACAGGACGGTGCGAATGAGATGATTTCACCTTACACGGTGTCGGGCTACGTCCCGCAAAAAGCTGGCTCAAAAATCCAATATTATGTCAATAAATCGAATCGATAACCGATGATTGCCAGTTCGACAATGACCAGAATTAAAATAAAGTGCCATATAACATTGAATTTTTACTTTATTCTTGGTAACAGCTATGAAATTCTGAACAACACTGGGACTTGAGTCGATAAAATAAGGGTAAGTGGCGATGTCTGTGAATTACGTGTCGGGAACAGGTGAACGAAAATAATTGAATTACGAGCCTTTAACTTATATCACCTGCGCTTGATTTAAAACGGAATAAATTTGAATGACACAACTTTGACAAGACGTTGTCAAGGAACAGAACGTGCGACGTAAAAATGTAACTACTCAAGTAAGGGTGCGTAATAAGCACGTATTGCATGCCTGAGCAACGCTCCTGTCACTGTTGTATAAATTACAAACTGATGTTATTCAGGTATTCATTTCTGCGCCAAAAGGTTTCTTTCCAAGCGTATCCTTTGTAAATACGCAGGCGCCCACACCACAAGTTTTTCAACACAATGATATTAAAAATGGATGACATTCGGTTGGAATTACACGAGTTAACTCTGTTGACGTAATACCGAGTTCCTTGATAGACATTGATCATGTGCTATTCAAAGCTTATTCCGCTTCACTGATTTTTGAAAATTTCAACGAGAAGACGCGTCACAGCTCGACCAAAAACACTCTTCTCACCGGATTCCCAATCGCGTGCCTTGATCTCAAAATGATCCACAAATCCGTGCTCCTCACAGAACTGATCAAACGCGATTTCGCTGTCAAATGTCTCCCCATCCCCAATCCATTTCACTGGCTCCTTTCCAACGTTGTCAGTGACAAGAACACATGGCGCATATGGACAAAATTCTTTGACATTTTCTCTCCACAGTACAGCTTCATTCAGCGTCGACGGCCTTTGCGTTCCCCAGAAAACTAGTGCCCCGAGACAGTCCCTGAAGTAAATTTTTACCATGTTCGAAAAGCGTTCCTGTTCGGCAATTTCCCAGAGTTGTAGCTTGATAGAGATCGGTTTCTGTGCATCGCTTTGTTGCCATCTAATTGTTTTTAAATAAAATTTCACTCCGATTAGTGGAGAACGATACGTTTGAACAGGAGGCCACACTTCGAGATAATCGTCTATGAAGACACCTTTGGTACCCACTCCGCCAGTGAAGCCACCGACGCATACGATTTTTATGAGTAGTTCTTCGCCCTGGCGATCGCTTTCGATTGTAAGTTCTTCTAGTCCAACGTTTGAGATAAACGTTTTCATCTCTACTTTCTTTTCTACACTCTTCGATCGGGTGTCATTGACCTCGTCGGGCAATTCATAGTTGGATGCCATTGTTGAGTGGAATTGTAGTTCAATGTAAACAGCGAAATAGTGGAGAAGAAAACTTCCGGTATCGTGCAACTGAACTTAGCTATCTTTGCGGCTTTCTGAGGGTCTCTTATCGGCTGCTATGCTCGTTCTCTTTGATCTCGGCGTTATTGTGATTTGAAACGCTTAACAACGGAATGATTGTCTGTCTTGACTTTCAGTAAGCAGTAGTATTCCACTCATAAGGAAACGATTGTATAGCGCCATAGTTTGTTTAGAAAGTGACGAAATTACATCTGGGGACGAGATTCATGCTCTCTGCAGCCAAGTCCGCGGAGAGGTGGGGATAGTTTCTGGGTTTTTTGACAAGGGAGGGATAGTCGGGGAAGAAGGGGGGGAGGCGGGGAAACTGGAAATAGTATGTTATTGCTGATATGATTGGTTTTCTATCCCTTAGCTTATAATCTACTTTGGGCTGGCTCTTTTAATTAATGACCAAATAAACTCGACTGTTAGCTCTCAGTGTCTTGTCACGCAACCCTGTTCCAGTGAAGGTTGTTAATGGCTTCCCATCCCTGACCCCAGTTACAGAAGGGATATGATGAAAGGTCACTTGGATGGCAAGAGATTCAATTGATAATTATAATCTCTTATGGATGGTCATTATCAATTCGTATCGCATGCGAAAGAAAAAATTGTTTCTCCAGTAGAGGTGAATAATCGCAGAACTCACGACGTGAAGTGTTAGACTTGAGCCGGTATCGCTGATTCCTTTCCCTCAAAAGAAGAGAAGAACTGGGTATAGTTGCGTGGTTTGATGGTGGATGGGGAGGGAGGGATTGGAAGATAGTTATAAGATAAGATAAAAGATAAGATAAACAGTTTTTAACGTGGAGAAACACTTAGCTAGAAGCTAGTTTACAGCTTTTCCACCAAACAACTGAAACAAATAGTTATAGGCGGTGAGTAAAACTGAAAATCAAAGTTGATCGTAAACCGTTAAAAGTTTGTCTATAGTTTAAGTTTCCATTCCCGCTGATGAAGGGTCTCAATCACGGAGTGATGGCTTTTTATGGCTAACTGTTAAAATCTTGGCTATTTTACGGCTAAAGGTGAATTTTTCCGGTATGGTTAAAACAAAAATTTTACAATTAACTTTATTCACAACTAACGATTTAAATTTGTAAATTTTTACGCCTATCGGCTAAATTTTTTTGCCATCTTATGGCTGACGGCTAACCTCATTTTAAATGACCCCAAGCTGATAGCAAATACATCTTAGCTCGTTGAATATCAAACCCATAAAAATAATTTCTAATCTCTCACTGTTTCGGCATGCAATCCGTATCCGGGTTGATGTCGTTTTAAATCATTTTCTCTTGTTTTAGCGCACAGCCTCCTGCCTCTGCACCTCATCACGAAAGGGGATAATTTAATAGAGAAGCAAACACTAGATTTCTAATCCAAGAGGTGATTTAAGAGGTCAATCAATTCTCTTTTTAATCAGATCATTCGTGAACTGTTTTTCCTTTGTTTTAATTGTCCCTTAGCTTCTTACTCAGGGCTTCCCCCAAATTTTTTTCTTCAAAAAATTTTCCCACAGAAAATCGTAATTTCAGACTTTAACCCTGTTCCCTTTCTCCTGTCAGTTAGCATCTACATCACTCCACCTATTAATTGTAGAGATTTAAAGCTTCCCCCCCCCTGCGTTCAAATTTCGTCACAAGCTTCCTGCAAGAGATTGTATACTCAGATCTCTTACTTCCTGTTCAGTATGGACGGTTATCTAATGACACAATTTTTTTTTACAAGTTATTCTCCGACAAGCCAGGTAAAGCGACGGCCAGTTGGAAAGTATAGACTGGACTCTGGACTGGACTGGACTTTACTTTTTTGTTAAATTGTATTAATATTAAATTGAGTTAATATTTTACTAATTATTTTTAAATTTTTCAAAGATAAAAATTAATCTAAAAAACTACTCGAACGCTCCTCTGCGATAGCCCGTGGCTCGCGCGATGTAAATTTTGTTCTGCGCGCAACCTGCAGGTGAGTGAAGTATGCTTTGTTTCCAACCTTCCGTACTGGCAAGTTTAAGATTAACAGTTCGATGAAACACGTAATCTCTCGAGTGCGATTGCCACGTTATTTCGTTTCTGTCAAGTCTATCTGTGTTAAAAAATGAACTGTGGAAGTAGTGGTTTCTCTGACAATGGAGAAGAGATGGCTAGATCTAAGCGTACATACGCTAATGTTGTCTGTAGAGATGATCAGTCAACTCCGTTGACAAATTCCTGGTGGAGAAAATCCAGGAAGAAAATGAAGAAGAAGCCATTGCCCTGGCCACCAGGAACTCGATCGAAGAGCTGGTAAAAGTAATTCATTTATTCATCTAGCTTATCTGACTAAACACAA